CATCTACTGGCAAGACACAGCAATATGAACTAAGTTTTATTACAGCAACATTGCAATAGTTAAAGGGGCACTTCTAGCTGTTGTAGCCTCCAAAATCTATTTTTAATTGCTTCAGCAGTGACTAATTTACCAGCTACCTGGGACAACTACTCTCTCTCTCTCACATACACACAGACACAGTCACTCATGTCATACCACTGTAAATCCCACTCACCCTTCACTCATGTGTTCCCACAAAACTTACACCCAAATCATATCAGCGTCACCTCCACATAGGGCAAAGTTAGATGCCATGGTGATAAAACACCCTTGAGTCCACATGAGCCCTGTCTACACTACATCTTTCCTTGTTGCTAACACTGGTGGATCTGGTGAATTACAGGTTCCCTATTTTGCCAGGGTACATAGAGCCTACACAAAGCTATTTTTAGCAAATATTCCCCATTGGAACTACCAGATTTAATGTACACAATTGTAAAAACATTGAAAGCTGCCAGAGCCTAGGACAGCCACCAAGGTAGCTGAACTAAGGATAACAAACCGTGTTGGGATTTTATATTTTTGGTATTTATTTTAAATTAATTTTAATCTGACACTCCAATGGCCTATTTGATAGCCAGGACCTCGGAATTGCTATAGTTTCATTTTATAATTGCAATCTCTACTATTTTCTTTTATATATTTAGTAAACCCTGGGTTTTGTCTGTATAGACAGCAGAACTCTAACAGCTTTGGAAAAGGATGCAGAACTTAATACCAAAGAAAAGGCAAGATATACCCCTCAAAAGTGCCAATAAAAGAAGATTCTCTCCCTACAAAAATATTTTACCCACAAAACTGAAAAGTCTACCCTGCACTTACATTATTGCTTAAGAAATCTGACTGACAGTAAAAAAGAAAAATATTATAGAGGCCTGGGTAAGAATGATCCATGTTTTCAAGGTAATGTGAAACAGAATTAACTATCTAGTCAAAGTATGAAAACAGTATGCCAGGGATATTATGAAAATACCAACAACTCTGAACTTCACATATGGATAGTGAGGCACAAGAGAAGTAGTAAACACAATCAGAAGCATATGGTCAAATTTATCTCTTGGTGTAAACCCAGAGTAACTTCATTTACTTCAGTGGATACCAATGTATCAGAAGAGAATGTAGTTCATAATAAAGAATAGGCTAAACTGAGCCAAGTTGAAGGCATCTGTCAGTTGGTATTTTCAGGAATGAATTTTCATCAATTCCTATTAGAATAATCCTTTTAGGTCATCTACAATGTGACAGCTTCAACCAATGGTAGTAAAAGTGGAAGCCACAACTTAGATGCAGCTCAACTGCCTTTTCCACCATGTCATCTAGGGTGACCAGGCAGCAAGTGTGAAAAATCGGGACAGGGAGTGGGAGGGTAATAGGCACCTATATAAGACAAAGCCCCAACTATCGGTACTATCCCTATAAAACCGGGACAGCTGGTCACCCTAATGTCATCTAACCCTGAGAAACACAATTGCACTGATATAGAGAGAGACCTTGAGCTTTAATCAGTGAGAAACAAGCATTCCAAAATACATTACTAACATTAAAATTAAAAGTATGGCACCAATTTCACAAAGTAGTAAATAGGTGAAATCCAAATGATAGGACTTTGTGATATAAAAACGCACAAGTCTTGGTTATTCTTGACCATAAATCTTTATTTGATAAAATGTAACTTCAATTCTTTGCTAAACTTGTTCTAGTAGTAGTTTTGCATAAACAATCCTATTCTTTTTTTACAATTTTGCAAAGCCATTGAAATATCGGAGGGAAAAAAAGTGTCTTCTCCAGTATGGTTCCCAAGGAGAAGATGCACAACAGCTTGCTTTATAAAAGGGTTTATTATTATATGTTTCATATGACTTACCCCAATTTTTGGCAACTATTCTCTAAATGTTATAAACAAATCTCCTGGAAGAGAAAATTGATCAGGAAGATGTTGCAATTGCATACAAAAAGACTACACCAAAGCTAGATCAACAACATATAAGGAAAAACTGAATTTAGTTTCAGACTTAAAGAAAAAAAAATGGAAGTCTGTTTCAGAAATGCTAACTATAAAGAAAAGTTTTGGTCCCATATAATCAAATTATATCAATCATTTTCTGATATTACTATTATGTTTCTAAGTCAAGTGTTGCCAAACTTTTTTGATAGCAAAGACTATCTCATCCCCTCCTAATTTCACTGACTTGTAAATCACAAAACAGCCTACTCTGGCTCTAAAATAAATTATTCTCCCTCCATTCAGAATCAGTCCTTTCCAAACCAATCATACACACACTATCCACACATTATGACAGTCACCAGAAATCTGTAGAAGGTACTTCGGTTTTAATCTCTCTTCCAAAGGATTTCCTTTTTTCCTTTCTATAAACAAAATAATCTAGATAATAGTTAGTCCTGCTTCAATGCAGGGGATTAGACTATTGAGGTCCCTTCCAGTTCAACGTTTCTATGATTCTATGATTATCTTCTGCAATCTGTTTTACCACCACCTCACAAAATCAATCCTGCCCCACAATCTCGTGCCATTCAAGCTCCCTTGTTCCTTGCTTAGTCTGCTCTTCCTTTGCTTGAGGCTGTCCCCTCACTCCCTCTGCTCCCAACTTCTTTCTCATGCTTGTTTCTAGGCCCTCTTCCCCTCAATTCTTTCTCACTAGGCTCCATATCCTGTGCCTCCACCTCCTGGACCCTCTTCCCCAAGATACTGTTGGTCCATCCTGGCTATTCATTCAATTCTCGGTTTCTTCCACTAGTTCCCAGATACCTCACCCCAGTCCTGTGCAGCAGCCTAACCCAGCTCCCTTCTTACGACCTAGGTTACTGATTGCCTCCTGTCTGCTCCCAATCTCAGCCAGACCCCTAGTTTTCTTCTCTCCCACTCTTCATAGTTCCAGATCTTCCCAAGGACAATGCCTTGACAGTAGCTCAGTTTGCACTTGTATATTGGAGAAGTTGGCAGTTCCTTCAGCTGATGGCTCCTCTCTGTGCCCCTGAGACAACTACCAATGGGTCACCGATAGAGGGTCAGGAAGAGAGAGGAAGGAAGCAGCAACTTTTTTTTTATACAACAGTGACTAGTGGCAGCTGACCCTCCTTTCCACAAGAGTCCTGGCTGGAAATGAAGGAAGGAAACAGCAGCACCGCACCTCAACCACCACCAGGAAGCACTCTGTGGACCACAGTGTGGCAATCCGTTTTAGGGCACATAAAGACTGAGTGCAAACAATCATGGGCAACCTTCTTGTCTACCTTTATTTGTGTGTCAAGTGTCCACATTTTTCTTTATTCCTGTGGCAAAATGAAAACATAGAAAGCAAACTTCTGCTTCCACTATTTTAGAACATCTCAGACATAAACAATTACTTCATATTGCTGATTCTTTAATTCCTTAAGCATAGGAACTGAAGGAATGGGCAAGAAACAAAGCCACAAATACAGGCCACAGACTGAAATTATTTGATGCCAACTCTATCCTATATATTTCCAAAACATTTTTTGGTGCCAGGAAGGTAGTAATAATACTATGCAAAAAACATACACAAAGCGGGTGAGGTAATATCTTTTACTGGACCAACTTCTATTGGTAGAAGAGACAAGCTTTCAAGCAAGAGAGATCTTTGTCAAGCTTATCTCTTCCATCAACAGATCTTGGTCCAATAAAAGATGTTACCACACCTTGTGTGTGTCTCGTATCTTGGGACCAACACTCATGCCCGGACGGATGCATGCACACAGCCCCTTCCCCCCAAAATACTCTAGAGAAAAAGGAAAGGTCAGTGAAGAAATTCCCCTCTTCAATCTATGTGAACTTCCCTAAGAAGTTATCCAGTTTTTGCTTAAATATTTATAATTGACCCCACAGTTTCAACTGGAAGCTGATTCACTAGTCTTAGTGAATTGCCCACATACATTCACTCTCATATGCCCCCTTATTCTGGTTTGTCAAATAAGCTCACATAGTACAATTTTATAACCAAGCTCACCACAGCTCATTTAATTACTTCTATCAGTAAACCTCTCAAGAATAGTTAATAGTCCCTATTATTACCTAAATCACATTCAGAAAACCTATACAATATACCATCAAACATAATATAAGATACTTTTGTACTTTATAATTGATGTCCTGATTCTGCAAGGTGCTGGACAACCTCATCTTCCATTCATTTAAATGAGGTAATTTGAGGGTGCCCATCAGCTTTTAGCACTGGACACTTAAATTAAATTAAATTAAATTAATGGAGATATACCTATCTCCTAGAACTGGAAGGGACCCTGAAAGGTCATCAAGTCCAGACCCCCTGCCTTCACTAGCAGGACCAAGTACTAATTTTTGCCCCAGATCCCTAAGTGGCCCCCTCAAGGACTGAACTCACAACCCTGGGTTTAGCAGGCCAATGCTCAAACCACTGAGCTATCCCTCTCTCTTCCAACACTTAAGTTGCTCACAACTGGATCCCTGCAAGCAAAAAAAAAAAAAAAGCCTACCAATATCTACCATAAAAAAACTGCTTTGTAGACAACTTAACACAGGAAATATTTACTTATGTACAAATGTGAAACACAAAAAACGTAAGCTGAAAACCTGCTTAAGATCATTCTAACCACAGAGAAAGATAATTTTTTACTTATTTTACAGGGAAAAAAATATTTTTAAAGCTATTGTAATGCTTGTATTTTTTTGCATTGCAAAAACAGTTTGAAATCCTGCTTTCCACTTCCTTTCAATGGTTGCCTAAGCAGAGATTTAATGAAGTTGGAAAATGGATGCCTCTTAAAGACACAAGCGCTGTGTGGCTAATGTGGTTTTTCTACAGTAGAAATAAAAAAGAAATCACTAACTAAAACAGATATTTTATAGAAATAATAGTCCTTTTCTAGGTGTGTATCAAATCCATGATCATTGCTCTCTGGGCTAGTGGTTCTCGCTTCAATACAATGTGATCTGAAGTACTCACATGCACATTTATTTGCAGAGTTGTGCCAAACTGCTATTGCATTTTTTTGTTTGTTCCGAAATGCCTCTTCAACTCTAGTTTCTGTTTTCCGTACAGTGGAACCATGAGGATTTATTTGCTCTGCTGTTACTGATAAGCCTGCACATAAAAGATAAGCATACCTATTTAAATAATCTGAGCTGCATAAACCAAACACAAAAAGAAGCCTAGAACATAGTATTGCATTAAAAACATAGCAATTAACATATTTAGATGAACATTGCTAAACCAAGATTTAAATGAACAATATTTGCTTTTAGCAGGCAATAGAATTTATTGGACATAAAATGTTAAAAACTGTCAGATATGATGGCTTAAGGCTTTTCTGCATTGGAAACGCTGCAGCAACATAGTTGTGTAGCACTTCAGTGTAGACACTGCCTACGCCGATGGGAGGGGTTCACTCATCAACGTAGGTAATCCATCTCCCTGAGAGGTGGTAACTAGATCAACAGAAGTGTTGTCTACACCCTGTCAGCTTAACTACGTCACTCAGGGATGTGGATTTTTCACACAACTGAGCAATGAAGCTGGGTCAACCTAACTTTTTAGTGTAGACCAGGCCTTAGAAAAATATGGCTCTCTTTGTAAGTCACATGATAAGCAATTTTAACAATTAATTCCATATTTTGGAACACAAACCCTATTCTTTTTTTTAAATATATTTTCCTGTCCTAGCCCAGATTATCTAAATAAAAGAATAAGATCCAAAAGCAATTTCATGTTGACAGTTTTCTATTTCCACTTATTTTAAATAAACTATTTAAAGTAAATACAAATTTGTATTAGCATTTTATAAAGGATTTCTATTCATGACGCAATGTTCAATAAATTTTCCAGTCTTAGGATTCATTATATTCCCTCAATACATTTGGGGAAAAACTTTCCACATGAACAATTAAGATATTTAAGTAAAAGTTTACATTATTACTGTATTTTATATATATTATATACACACACGCATGCACACTCCCTGTTGCAAAGTGTATTTGTTTCACAGTCTACCTGAATCCTCATATCAATAACAAGTAACAGAAATGATGACTGCTTTTTGCTTTCGCAACTAACAGTCAGGTATAGTTGGTTACATTCTGTGATATTAATTAATCCAATATTTTCAGCCATTCTTTCCTTTTTTTAATTCATGGCTGTAATTCTGCTGTAGTGAGCCTATTACCACATTGTTTAGGTATGTTTTATAAAAGATCCCATAGACACAGAGTTAAAGCAATATTTATGTAAACATTATGATTTGCTACATACCCACTGCTGTGGCACATGCCTTTTATTACATGGGTATATAGACCAAAGATCCATCTAGTCTAGTGTCACGTCTCTGCTGACAGTGGCCAGCCCCAGATGCTTCAGAGAAAGGTGCAAGAAACCCCAAAGTTGGCAGCTGTTGGATAATTTGTCCCACATGGGAATCTTCATTTAACATCCAATAGTTAAGAGATTTTCATAAACCCCAAAGCAGTAAGTTTTATATTCCTTTTAAAACTTCTAAAAACTATTTACTGAATTATAACTCTGTATATTCCTATTATGTATATCAATGTCCAATGAATTTGACATGGGGATCACTCTGGTGCAAAACACGCCTTTTGCTATTCCCGTGATAAAAATGCTCAAATTTGGCCGAGTTATAAACTCTTGAAAAATCTCAGTTTGCACATACACAGATGACATTTGTTAGAGTGTGATAAGTAGTTCATGATCATGCAATTAAAGACTATGATAATGCACGTGCAGAAAGGGGCCCTATTAAGGTTGCACAGGCAGCTATTTTTGCTAGCAGTTCAGTCACTTCATTTTTAAGCTCTAGAGAACTCTTGGGTGAATAACTTTCTGGACCTGGCGATGTATTACTTCTTAGTTTATGAATCTGCTCCAAGATTCTCTTACTCTGGCAGCTCAATATCATTGACTCATAGTCTTTAAGGTCAGAAGGAACAATCATGATCATCTAGTCTGACCTCCTGCACATTGCAGGCCACAGAACCTCATCCACCCATTCATGTAAGAGACTGGCTGAGTTACTGAAGCGGATAGTACCTCATCTTTGCTAAAGGGCAGATTTTCTTGGTATAAACGGTCATAGCTCTATTGATTTCAGTTGATCTGTAACAATTTACACCAAGAATCTGCCGCTAGGTATCTCCTTATTGTGAAGACTAATGCAAAGAAATCATTTAGCTTCTTAGTAATGTCCCTATCTTCCTTAATTATTTCTTTTAATTCTTGTTGATACAGCAGATGCCTTCACAGGCTTTCCAGATTCTGATATACTTAAAAGAATTTCTTGTTTGATTTTAGATCTTCACTTATTTCCTCTTTGGATTCCATCATAGCCCTCTTAATTTTTCTTACATATTACCTTCTGGAGTTTAGACTCCTTTTAATGGCTTTAGTTGGGTTAGATTTCCAAATTCTGAAGGGTATTTTTTTGGTTCAAATACTCTCTTGAAACTTGATATTTAGGTTTACTTCTTGCATTCCTGCTTCCCTTTTTGTTCAGAGGTACACAGGACTTATGAAACTCTACTACAAAACCCTGCTCTATAAAACACATTATAATAATAATACTGGTCCATTACTAGACAGAAAAGGTAGAATTGTCAATATTAACACAAAAAAAGGTGAAGTGTTCAATAAATATTTCTATTCTGTATTTGGGGAAAAGACAGATGTACTTTGGAGCACAGCAGTTGAGCTCAAAAAGATCTTGACAAACTGGAGAAATGGTCTGAAAAACAGGATGAAATTCCATAAGGACAAATGCAAAGTACTATATTTAGGAATGAAAAATCAGCTGCACAAATACAAAGTGGGAAATGACTGCCTGGGAAAGAGTACTACTGAAAAGGATCTGGGGTCATAGTGGATCACAAACTAAATATGGGTCAACAATGTAATACAGTTGCAAAAGAAGTTATTGTCATTCTGAGATGTATTAGCAGGAATGTTATAAGCAAGACACGAGAAGTAATTCTTCCACTCTACTCAGCAGTGATAAGGCCTCAACTGGATTACTGTGTCCAGTTCTGGGTACCATACATTTCAAGGAAGATGCGCACAAATTGGAGGAAGTCCAGAGGAGAGCAACAAAAATGGTCTAGAAAACATGATCTATGAGGAAAGACTAAAAAAATTGGGTTTGTTTAGTCTGAAGAAAAGAAGACTGAAAGGGGAGACAATAAGAGTCTTAAGTATACAGAAGATTGTTATAAAGAGGAGGGTGATAAAACTATTTTCGTTAACCACTGGGGACAGGACAAGAAGCAACGGGCTTAAATTGCAGTAAGGGAGATTTAGGTTAGACATTAAGAAAACTTCCAGTGATTAACTACCCTTACAGTTAGGAACAAATTACCTATGTAGGTTCTTAAGAACAAGTTAGACAAACACCTGTCTGGGATGGTCTAGATAATACTTAGTCCTGTCTCAGTGCAGGGGTCTGGACTAGATCACCTATCAATGTCCATTCCTGTTCTATATTTCTATGATTCTATATATTCATATTATGATGATGAAATACTTTCCATTCCAACACTAAATCAGGAGGATGTTAAACAGCAGCTACGAAAGTTAAACCTTTTTAAATCAATAGGTCTGGATAACTTGCATCCGAGAGTTTAGAAGAGCTGGCCTAGGGGCTCTCTGGACTGTTAATGTTGATTTTAAATAAGTCTTAGAACATCTGGGAAGATCCAAAAGACTGCAGAAAAGCTACCATTATGCCAATACACTTCTACCTCGATATAACGCTGTCCTCGGGAGCCAAAAAATCCTACCGCTTTATAGGTGAAACCGCGTTATATCGAACTTGCTTTGATCCACCGGAGTGCAAAGCCCCATCCCCCCAGAGTGCTGCTTTACCACATTATATCCAAATTCGTGTTATATCGGGTCACGTTATATCGGGGTAGAGGTGTATTTAACAAGTGTAAACAGGGCAACCCAGACAACCATAAGCCTGTCAGTCTGACATCGATTCTAGGGAAAATAACATAATAGCTAATACAGGTCTATTAATAAAGAATTAAAGGAGGGTAAGATAATTATGGGTTTGTGGAAAGCATGGGTTTGTGGAAATTAGATCCTGTCAAACTAAGTTGGTATCTTTTTTATTAGGTTACAGATTTGGTTGATAAAGTTAATAGCATTGATGTAATAGACTTCTGTAAGGTATGCAACTTGCCACTGCACAACATACTGATTAAAGAACTAACGCAATACAAAATCAATATGGAACGCATGAAATAGATTAAAAACTGGCTAACTGTTAAGTTTCAAAACAAAACTGTAAATGGGGAATCATCATTGAGCAGGTGTGCTTCTAGTGTGGTTCCAGAAGGATCAGTTCATGGCTCTACGCTATTTACCATTTTTGTCAATGACCTGGAACAAAATCACCACTGATAAGGTTTTCAGAGGACTCAAAATGGGGTAGTGATAAACAACAAAAAAGGACAGGTCACTGATACAGTGTGATCTGGATCAATTGTTAAGCTTGATGTAAGCAAACAATGTGTGTTTCAATACACCAAAGCTATACATCAAGGAAAAAAGAATGTAGGCTTTACTCACAAGATGGACTTTATCCTGGAAAGCTGTGACTCTGAAAAAGGCTTGGGGCCATGGTGAATAATAAGCTGAAAATGAGCTCCCAGTGTGATCTCATGGCCAAAAAGGCTAATGCAATCCTTGGATGTACGAACAGGGGAATCAACAAATAGAGCAGAAGCAGAGAGGTTATATTACCTTTGTATTTGGCACAGGTGCAACTGCTACTGGAATACTTAATGTCCAGTTTTGGTGTCAATACAAGAAGAATGTTGATAAACTGCAGAGTTCCAAGAAAAGCCACAAGAGTGCTTAAAGGATTGGAAAACATGCATTATAGTGAGACCCAAGGAGCTCAAGCTATGTAGTTTATTAAAGAGAAGGTTATGGAGGTAACTAGATCACATTCCAAGTTCCTAAATGGAGGAAGAGAATTTGGATTTCTGAGGACTCTTCAACCTAGCAGTCAAAGCTATAACAAGTTCCAATAGCTGGATGTTGAAGCTAGACAAATTTAGACTAGAAATAATATGGAAGTTTTTAACCGCGTGGGTAATTAGCCATTGACACAACTTATTGCTAGATGTGGTCGATACTCCATCACTGGACATCTTTAAATCAAGATTGGATAGTCATCAAAAAAAATATGCTCTATTCCAACAGGAATTTAGGGAAGTCAGACTAGATGATCACAATAGTGCCTTCTGGCCCTAGAATATATGAAACTGTTGTTTTCTTAAGTAGCATCCATGCCAAATCTAAACTTTATTTCCTCTGCTTTTGATTTTAGGGCTATTTTGACTAGCTTATTGATATTACTGAAACCTCCCTTTCTAAAGTTTAGTGTCATTGTGTTAGTTTTTGATACCTTTCCTCCCCCGTAGGATGTTGATTATAGTGTGGTCACTTGGGTCTATGTTGAGAATAGCATCTACTATGTGCTCTAGAAGGCTGTTTCAAGAAGCATTAATTTAAAATTTAACAAAATTTCTTCTCGGCTTATTGTGATATTTGACCAGGTTATATGTGAATAGGTGAAGTCCCATTATTTTATTTTTTTTGTTAAACTTTGCTGCCTGTGTGAACTCTCTCAACATTGTGCACTCAGTATTCTTTTCTTGATCCAGAGGTATATTTGTACTCTTGCAGCTTGGGATTTGAATCCATATGTATCCAACTGCAATGCTCTCCGATCAGGATATTTATCCCACTAGATCCTATGGAAACTTTTTAGATACACCACCAACCACGCTTCACCTAATCTGTCCTTTCTGTATAGTTTATAGCCAGGTATTACATTATTCCATCATGTTCAGTAATACCTTTTCTATCAATGATTTTTTCCTCTGCCAGGCAATTTAGTACACCCGCTTTTGCTTTTAAACTTCTCAAATTTTTATACAAACGTTTATATTTTTTAGTTTTGACTTTATGCCTATTTTTATTTAACTATGTTATCTGATATTTTGCACTACAATAAATATTTCTTTAGATTAAAGTTCCAAAACTTACCTCTTTTTCTTCTCGCTTCCTTGATTTCTTCACACATTTTATTAAATTCGGGATCCAGCTCAGCAGCAATTATGGCATGTGCTGTGTCCTTCAAGGTACAAGCTCTGTGTCTAATTATTTTATCTATAAAAAAAGTTATTATAAGACATTAGTTTTACTTATTTTTACACACATTCTTATATATCTGTGTGTGTTTTTACTATATTTTAATAATATAGCTATTACAGTAACAATACATACCTTGAAATGGAAGAAAAAAACCCAGCAAATCAAACAAATATAAGAAAAATGAAGACAGACCACAGTCACATTAGGTCTGAAAGCCGGTGCCCCTGTGGAGTACATGTCGCACTTCAGTTTCCCTTTTTTCCCCCCCCTTTTCTTTTTTTTAAATTAGTAGTTCGCATATGGATCACACGAATTTAAAAACAATTTAACTATTGGGCAATACAGAATTTTTCTAAGGTGGAAAACTGTTGCTTTGAGTTGATCATTGGTAGAGTTTCTCCAATGCCAACAAGTGGGCTTCCACCATCCTAAATAGATTAATTTATATCATAGTAGAAAGTGATGCCTAAAAATTTGTCAAGCTTGGTAGACAAAAGAAGAACCTATGCAACAAAGTGTTAAGTTCTATTTCCCGTGGTTTCCAAGCAGATATGCTATGGGATCACAAAGCCAGCATCACCAGGAACCCTCATCAGAGAATCAGAAGGGGGAAAAGTACCATTGAACAATTAGATGTGGCTTTGACTGCTTCAAGATAGTACAGAGTCCCTGTAATTAGGCCAGAGGATACTGTGGTATTCTCCCATGACATCGTTCACACAGGGCCTGCTGCCACCTCAATGAACTCATCTTCAGCGACAAACAAACCAGGAAGTCAGTTTGCTGAGTGGGTTACTGAAGTGAGTATTACTGGTCTATTTAGTTTAAAACACTTAAAAATTACAAGGGACTATGGAGACCTCAGTCTTATATGAAAAACCTGGAAAAGTCATTTATTCCTGAATCTGCTGTATAAAAAAACCTTCCAGAGTCTAGTGTCAATAGTATTAAGATTTTTAGTCGTTTTCTACATCACCCGCCTACTTCTTTGCTTCAGATTATGGTTGCCTTTTTATTTGTAAAATAAACATCATACTGTAACAGACTCAAGGTTGTGCTTAACTGACTATTATGTTGATGATATTGATATTTGCTTCTTTGGTGGCTTTAACATTATGAACGTAACTGGCAGAAAGTAAGTCTGCAGAGGATTGCTGTGTATTCACTTGGACCTGGGGGACATGGCACCAAGGAAACTTCACTGTCCAAATTGGAGCCACAAGTATTAAAAGTGAAAGAATATTTCTCAAGAGATTACTGGTTTCCACTAGTTTCAGATGTAGACAAGACAGTACTCCAACATTAGTTTGCTGGAAAATGAGCAGAGATTGTAATAGGAAAAGCTGCACTAGGGAGAAACAGCATTGTGGGATATGTTTTACTCAGCTAAATGCCCATCACCATTTTCTATCCAGTTATTTCTTTTTTTTTAAGTACAAACTAGATTGCCAATAACCCATCTTGAATTACTTTTTCTGAATGGTATAATTATTTCAACAGCAAACATTAAATACTAATGGCTAAATTATATTATTGTGCAATTAACACATTTAATCTAACTTTGAGAATCACTACAGACAATCATTAGAAGAGCATAAGAGAGCAATTAAGGATACCATTATTTAGAACTTTTAAAGTAGTGATTTTTGTGGCAGAGAGAGAATTTGCTGAGTCAAAAGCCAAAGTAGAGAAAACTCATTAACCTGGTCTCTTAGGCACTATCTGCACTTCTTTGGGAAGTCTCCCACCATTGCATTATCACCCTTACAGGGACAGCAACAATAAGACTGTTGCTAGTGTTGACAGGACACCTATTTTTTATTTATTTTAATTTATTTTTACCATCATGTCACCTGGGATTAGAGGAAAGTGACAAAAATCTCCTATACCCTGTCTATGCTGGTATTCCCTCCTGCTATCACTATTGGTGCTTCACAGTTGATGAGTAATGGCAGGAGATTTCACCAAGTATAGTAGTGTAGATAGCCTTGACGATATATGATGTGGATAAGATCATCACTGTATAGTAATAAGCTGAGAGTACTAGAAGGGCTGGTAGAATCAGTCAATAGTGGAAACTAACTTCTGCAGATAGGAAATTATTAGTGCATTCTAAGTACTATTGCAATATAAACATACAAATAGTTAACCATTTTCTAGAGAATGAAGCAGGTTGCTGGAGCGTGACCCAAAACAGGGTGTTAGATCTATACTTCTGCATGCCCCTAGAATCACTTCCTACAAAACAGTCCCAAGTGCATGACTTTGGGATGCAAAGGTAACAGAGACTGTATATTAAGGATGTATTCACTTTTTGGTAGGGAAGGAGATACAATTTTACATTGCTTTAACTACCTTTATCATTTTTTAAATTACTCATAGCTGCAGATAGATTTGAAGAGCAAGCCTGGAGGTTTTTGGCAAAGTATGGTTATAAAGTATTTTGCTTTATGCCCTGTTGAGTTCACACAACAGTATGTATGCATTCTTTGTTTTAAGTGGAAAAGAGACTAAAGATGATCTAACAACAGCAGAGATGGTTCCAAAACAAAAAAACAACTTTGGCCCCAGATAAAAGCTCCTCCAAAGTCCAGGGTTTTCAGATCTAGGATTTTGGTTGGGGGCTTATCTCTAAGGCCTGGTCAACACTTGGAAGTTTCACTTTCAGTTTCATAACTATTTTGACTAGGGGTGTGATAGTCTACCACAGTGGTCTCCAAAGTGGGGTGTGCAAGAGGATCCTTGCGCGGCAGGAGGAGCACTTTTTTTTTGTTTTTTTTGCTTCGTCAGGCAGGAGTCCGAACGGCTTTCCTCCCCGACACACCCTTCGGCGCGGCAGGGGGTACGTACTCAAAAATATTTTCCTGATAGGGGTGCGCGATCAAAAAAGTTTGGAAACCACTGGTCTACCAGAATAGTTATACCAGTAAAAGCCTCAGTGACTATCAGTTATGCTGTCATAACAGTGACTTATATTGGCACAGCAAGTCATATATTCCACAGAGACCTGTAACAACTACAGAGAGGATACAAGAAAGGAAGGGTTGTTTACCTTATAGTAACTGTTCTTTGAGATGTTCTAAGCATGTAAATCCTGTGCATGGTGCTCTGGTTCCCCTTGCACAGTTTGGAAGGTCGGTAGTGTCCAACAAGGGTCACACATGTGTCCTTCATGCCCTCATGCTCCCTTCTGAGGGCATACGGGTAAACCAACCCCCCCCAGCACTCAGTTCCTTCACCACCCAGCGTCTCAAAGAATCCCTGATCTGCGTTGATGTAGGGGTTCTGGGATCCACATACACAGACAGTAATGTGTGCGGTAAATACACTGACATTGCAAACAGGTGGTTACTTCTGACAGGCATTTTGTAAAAAAACTCGAGGTGCAGCTTAGAGGCCAAATGGGAGGACTCTGAACTAATAGTTGTCATCCAGCATCAGAAAGCAGAGAAACTTCCTGTGCAATGGATGTATTGGCACATGAAAATATGTGTGCTGCAAATTGAGGGTACTGAACCAGTACATGTGATTTATAGAGGGTATGGTGGATGCAAGAATCATCAGGTGAAATTTGACACTGGTTATCTAAGTGCTGAGGAGCCTGAGCTCTTGTATGGGTCACCAGCTCCTTTCTTCTTTAGTACAAGAAAGGGGAATAAAATCCTCTCTCTGAAGGCTAGCAGTTGAGGCTCTATCACACCCAGTTCCAACAGAGAATGTATTTCTTGGTGCATGAGACTCACGAGATTATTTCCTGAAAAGGGATGGGGGAAGGTATGAAATTGGAGGATATGTCCCTCTTGGATTAACTACAAGACCCAACAGTCTGATGTTATTGCAGTCCAGACATCCACAAAGAGAGGCAGGAACCAAAATAGAGGGAGTGGCAGGAGAGAGGGATACAGATCCACATTGTCCTGTGCAGTATACCCAACCAAAGCATCAAAATTATTGCTTCTGTGACTGAGATGGTTGGATAGTAGATAAGGATGGTTCTCTCTTTTGGAACCTCTCTCTTTTCTGAACTGGCTTGATTGTTTCTGATGGTTAAAAACATGAAGTAGTTGATTGGGATTTCTGCCTAGAAGAGAACTGGGATTGACAATACTTTCTTCTAAAATTTGGGAAGTCAAAGCCCAAAGATCTGACCATGGTCCAACAATCCTGGAAGGAGTGCAATTTTGTGTTTGTCTTTCGACTGAACAAGTCCTTCCCATTAAATGTCAAGTCTTGCACTGTAGTCTGCACTTCCTTAGGGAGTCTTGACACAGACAAACCTGAATTCCTTCACTTGCAAATTCCAACAGCCAGCAATATAGCTCCCATGTCCATAGAGTCTAGAATTGCCTATAATGAGTGGTATTATATGGTACCTTCTGCATAGATCAATTCAAACTCCTTCAGATCTGAAGGTAATTTGTTCAAGAAATCTGCCAATAATTTGCAATTATGAGCTGAAGAAATGCTGAAGAATAAACTTTTCAGCCAAAAAGATCTAACTTCTTTGGTTGTGTCTCTCTGGAGGTGGATTTGTGTACTGGCTTGGATTTTCCACCACCAGGGATGACTGTGTACAGGATAAAAGGTTAAATTAGTTTAAAAAGAAAAAAATGTTTTCTGTAGGCCATGGCAGTCATGGGAAGGCCTTGCAAGGCAACGGCTTAATTGGAAAATCTGGATATAAAAAGTAACTGATAAGATAGAACAAAAAAAGGTCCCAAATACCAGGAATAGTTAATAATAAGAAAAGATTTAACAGGCAGTGACACCAAACTGGCCAAACCTGGTTTTTAGCCAAGTTAGCAATAGGCAATGATTTCACTTGTTTATTAAAGTGTATAAAAGGGTAACCTCTTAAAGTATTCATTGCTAATACCAGCCTAACCAAGTTAGGACTGACTATTGTGGGTCTAAACCCTTGAGGTTAGCCTGTTTGTAAGTATCTTGATTGAATGTTTATAAATTTGATTTAATTGGAGATTGGTCCTACTTTGAGCAGAGGGTTGGACTAGATG